CTCCACTTCCCCCTTCTTCTCCCCCTCCCCCTATTCCTCCTTCCCCTTCCCCTTTCACTTCCCCTCTGCCTTCTTCTCCCTCTCCTACTCCCTCTCCATCTCCTTCCTCTTTGCCAGTGTCCTCTTTTTCTTCTTCTTCTTCTTCTGCTTCCTCCTCCTCTTTTTCTTCTACTTCCCATTCTTCTACTCCTCCATCATCGGTTTCTGTCTTCTTCTCCCTCTTCTTCTTCTTCCTCTTCTTCTTCTCCTTCTTCTTCTTCATCATTTGCCCCCCACCCCGGCGGCCCCTCCTTTGTCTTCGTTGTCCTTATTGGGACGTCGGCAGGTTCGTTCATTCTCTCCTCCTCCCAGTCCCCCTTACTCTCGACGTCGTGTTGATGCTACTCTGCAGGGTTCTTTGTCTTACCGACAGCCTGCTCTGCCACGTCGACGGCGTTCGTCATTCATGCGCCGACCCCGCCAGATCAGACCTAGCTTTCCAGTGGTGACCGAATCGGATCTGCGGGCAGATCTACCAAATACTTTTGGCTTGACAGCCACAAATGTCTGCCTACAGGCTTATCAGTGTCAATGTTATACTGCTTCCCATTTTGTCGCGATTGCTTATCAGCTTGACACTGTTGAAAATCAGTTGTTGTATGACCATAATGGTCCACCTCCTGAAGGTAGGAATTATACTACCTCAGGAGGCTTTATTGTTAATGTCTTACAGCTAGCATTCCACGGTCGCCACCTTCTTATGCATCATGCGATGCCAGACGATGACCTTAATGACCATCCTCACATTTTTCTGCCTGTATTTTGCACAGACCCGGGCATTATATGGCACTCATTCGTGCAGCTACCCAGTGGGAACTGTGGGATGGTGGGATAATGATTCCGGCTATTTTCAACATAAATGAATTTCTGTGTGCATTGCCGAATCATACTTTATTCTGGATTATTGATCGACTCTCGTGTGACCCCTGTCGGGACAGGGACGCAGTGCTTCTTGGCTGCGGAGTTCATCACCTATGCCATCAACATTATCAATCTATTGCAGCCGCCGCCGCCTGTGCCGAAGGGTGTCCAACATTTCCTCTTGTACACATCCCTATCACCCACATTTTGTCCCTTTTGTGCTCAAGGACACTATTAGGACTGCATGATGCCGCACTGTGATGAACGTCCTGCTGTTTTTTTGACATGTGAACAGCATGTCCTTTGTCAGGACTGTTTTGATGGGATGGTCCGTGCTAGCCGTCCTGCTGAATGCTGTGCCGAAGTAGCTCTCCTTGGGTATCCTTTTGAACATCCGTGTCATCCTCAGCGTGCCTGTCCTATCTGCCGGGGTGGGGGCTCCATGATCAATAGAATCAAGTGATCAGGAGCAACAGATGTGGAGTTGAAGAAAGAAGAAAGAAAAAAATTGAAACAAAGAAAAAAAGAAAAAGAAAAAAAGTACAAATTTCTGAAGAAAGGAAAAAGAAAACAAGAAAAAAGAACGAGAAAAAAATAAAAGAATATGTTGAACCTTGTAGTGACAGTGTCAATTGGTTTATCTGTGGGATGTGTCATTTGCTTTCTTCCCTTGTCTTTTCTTTGATTGGATCCCTTTCTCTTTCGCTTGCCTCTGTGAGGTCTGGTTTCCTCCTCCTTTTCTTTACCTCTTTGCCTTTTGGCTGCGTGCAAGTGGGTCCTTGTGACACACAGGGATGGGGGTAGCCAGTGCTCAACCTGTCATCCACGTGGCTGGCCATGTACGTAAGAGGTGATGAACAGGTGGGGCTTTCCTTCCTTCTTTTCCTTTCCCTGTTTTGCTTTTTACGGTGTGACAATATATATTACGGAAGAGGGTCTGAACAGGGGGAAGGAAGAGGATAAAAAACTGAATTCAATTTTTCTTGTTTTTTTTTCTCTTTTTTCCTTTTTGTTCGCATTTGCGCTCTGATACTCTTGTGACAATATATATTTATATATATTTATATGTAGAGTTTTCCATCTGGTGTGGGTGAGTGATAGTCTACTTTGATTTTGGTTAAGGTAGATTATCATTTACAGTGTAATCAGTGAGGGGATTCTGCAGACTGTTGAGGGTTCAGCCTCCTGATGAGTCGGTGAACCTCCGACGAAACAGTTTGTCACAGCCCCTCGTTTGTTGTCCTCTTCTCTCTCTCTGCCTACGGTTCACCGGGCAGTTCTGTGTGTGACGATATATACTAGGCTACCAGACTGGCCTGGGGTCACTTGCCCGACCGGGCCAAAAACATGAAAAAATAAAAAAATAAATTATAAAAGTATTATTTTTAACTTTTATTTTTTATTTTGAATTTGGTGGAGAACTTCGATGTGACCCTGAGGCAAAAATTGTTCAGTTTATTTTTCTGCATAACATAGTTTTTTGTGGATTTTTTGGATTTTTTTTTTTTTTTTGCTATGATCTTCCCTGGTCCTTGCACGGGCTGCCCACCCGGGACCCGGGCGGCCCGGCTGGTACTGTGATGAACGTCCTGCTGTTCTTTTGACATGTGGACAATATGTCCTCTGTCAGGACTGTTTTGATGGGATGGTTCGTGCTAGCCGTCCTGCTGAATGCTGTGCTGGCGCAACTCTCCTTGGGTATCCTTGTGAACATCCACATCATCCTCACCGTCGCTGTCCTATCTGGCGAGGTGGGAACAGTTAAAGAAAAAAAGAGAAAAAAAGAAAATGAGAAAATAAGGAAAAAGAAAAAATATGTTGATCTGTGGGATGTGTTATTTGCTTTGTGACAATTGGATTATCTGTGGGATGTGTCATTTGCTTTGTTTCCTTGTCAGTAGGTTTCCTCCTTTTCTTTACCTCTTTGCCTTTTGGTTGCGTACAAGTGGGTCCTTGTGACACATGGGGATGGGGGCAGCCAGCGCTCAACCTGTCATCCACGTGGCTGGGCTCGTATGTAAGAGGTGATGAACAGGTGGGGCTTTCCTTCCTTCCTTCTTTTCCTTTCCTTGTTTTGCCTTTTTCCGCCTTTGCGCTCCGATTCACAGTGTGACAATATATCACAGCCCCTCGTTTGTTGTCCTCTTCTCTCTCTCTGCCAACGGTTTACCGGGCAGTTCTGTTTGTGACGATATATATATACAAACAGAACTGCCCGGTAAACCGTAGGCAGAGAGAGAGAAGAGGACAACAAACTAGGGGCTGTGACAAACTGTTTCGTCACTGACTCATATATGTATATACTGTTTGTGACGATATATATATATATATATATATATATATATATATATCATGGTTGTCAACCGGACGTCTGGATCGGGATCCAGACGGTCCGGTCTGGATGTCCGGATCCGGTGTCCGGTTTGAGGTGTCCGGTTGGGCCCCATTTTGAGAAAATTCGAAAAAAAAAATTGGGGTCCCCAGGGAATTTTCCAGTGCCTGGTGGACCCCCGAAATTTTTTGGTGCAGTTTTTGGTGGACCATTGGGCCAACCGGACCGGCCCTGAAGGGCCTGTACTTGCAATCTTGGGTGAGCTTCAGCGGGCCAAGCAGAACTGGTTGTCTGTGTGTGTGTGTGTGTGTGTGTGTGTGTGTGTGTGTGTGTGTGTGTGATTTCCCCCCCGACAGCCCCAATTCCACCCAGATGAATAGATTCAGAATCAAAGCAGTCTTTGTCGTATTGCAGACAACGAGAGCATTTGA